CAATGAAAATTTTGAATCCAGAGAGGGGGATTTCTTGAGAAATATCTTACAGATAGATAATGTGTGTCATTTACATGCTTCTTTTTTTGTTTTTCAGAAAAAGAAGATCGCTTACGTAATGATTATTATACTATTCCATCAATAACTACTGCAAATGATCATAATGAAAATAATTCTGAAATGACTCCATATACATTTGAAGAATATCGACATAAATTAATCGATTCTATTCTACATGATCAAGTATTAACTGATATGATTTGTGAACGTATTGTTTATTCTTATTCAACCGATCTTGTTGGAACAATTTGTACTATTGTCGACAATAATTTTAACAATGATCTTGTTCAATGTCAACAAGCAGTTGAATTTGTGTCACGTTGGTTATTACATATCGATAATAATGATTGCCAATTATTTGAGGATTGTACTAATAAATATGTATGGCGTCTTGCACATGTTTATACATCATTTGAATATGAACAAAATGATCTTATATCAATATATTCAGCAATTCGTATTCTTAATCGTATGGATTCTACACAATCATCATCTTACAATTATTTATTCAATGAAGAAAATACAACACGTTCTAAAATACGTGAAAAATTTTTTTATTTAATATTTGATTATTTATGGAAAACTCTTAATAAATTATGTTCAAATAATGAAAATTATGAAACATGGATATATGCATATACATTTATTTCGAAATATTATCCATCAGAAAAAATTTTACGTGGTATACAATTAAATAGTATTAAAAGTCAAATTGAATTTATGAATTTAGCCTATTTAATATTTTTAAATGATACAATAACTGAACCACAAGAATTAATATTGATGTTACTTAAAGACACGAATTTTAATCGATCATCAACTTGTTTAAAATTATTATCGAATATGACCGATGTTATTTGTCAATATTTGAGAAAGAAAAACATTAATAATTCAACATTGTTTATTGATCTTCAACAATGGATAATAACAATATTAAAATCAATAACACGACCATCACAACAAGATATTCATGTTCTCTTCAAATACCTAGATAATTCAGCGCATCAATTATCTCTACCAATGAAACAGTTTCTTTTCGATGAATTGATTAATATATTTCTACAATTAAAACAACGAAATATACAAACTTTTGATTTTTGGGACCGTTTAAATATAATTTCGGATTTAATTGAATGCATATCGAATATCAATCTACTTGAAAATTATAAAATACCATATCATCCATTAATATTATCAGACAATCACGATTTACAAACACGACCAATATTACTTGATTTATATTTCTTTCATCTTAGACGTCAAATGATTCAGGAGAAAATTTCTGGAAAACTTATTAATAAAGGAATGTTATTAAAATTGCCAAAAGTTACAAATCAACATTTAATACCTTTGGTAGAAAGTCTTTTCAAACAATTAAAAGATTATTTTCGAGTAACAATGATTGCTTTATTATTATGTGAATTAAACTTGAATAATGATGAACTCAATGATATCAATCGTATTATGTCAACACTCATCGATGAACTTTTATTACTCGATCAACAATCAACACAATTTAATGATTATCTTCAACTTTTTCTATCAACAATAATATCGAAAACATCATGGAATTATCTTTTAAATTTATTAAAATCTGAACAAATTCAACGTTGTAATAATCAATGGGCAACAAATTTATATCATTTACTTGAATTAAAACAAACATCAAAGCAAAATAAATATTTACAATTATGTCATCAGATCGAATTTACATTATCATCAAAAAATGATTTATCAATATTTCCTAAATTTCATCAACCTTATCAGGAATTAAGAGAAATTATGGACACATGTGTTAAAAATCATACTGAAAAAAATCCATGGAAAATTTTATTTGATTGGATTCAATTAAAAATCAATTCAAATCCAATACAATTACAATTAAATGAAATTAATGTTATGTTATTATTAATTATTTACTATGAATATTACTGTAATAATCAATTATCATCTATAGATACATTATTAGAAATAATTGAGAATAATTTATCATTATCATCTGAAGAATTACGATTATTTCGTATTTTTATCAAACCTCACCAATATATGATTGGATATCCAATAGAAAATAATAATAATAATGTTGATAAAAATTCCCTTAATGATTTATTTAAACTTGATTGTAAAGATGAATTTGAACTATCTTTACGTCATATGCTTGTTAATCTTATGGCAATGATTTTATTAGGTGGAAAACAATCGTTTCTTTGGACATTTATGTTTCAACCATCAATATTACAAAATACGTTTGGTAAGTAAAGATAAGAGAAAATGGCCTTAAAATGTTCTCTAACATCGGAGAAGGTTGTTTAATCAGTTCCCCAAATCCAGAGAAAATCCCAGCCAACATTTTCTAGAGCAGAGGGTGATGGAGGTGACTCTCCATCCCCCGGGTCTCGCCACACGTGATTTCATGTCTTGTTATTATTTAGCTTTTTGTCTAAACTAATTTTTATCTGTCCATGTTATTGTAGAGTTTGACATTGCTCCACTTGTCATGTTTTTTTTATACATATATCTAAAATAATTTTTAGTTTGTATCATACACGATTTTGTAAAGAATGTCAAGTTCTATGTTTTGATTTTAAAAAATTGATATTTCGATCAAATCAAAAAATCGAAGAGCAACAACAATCTAATTTATTCAATTCTTGACAATATTAACATCTACAGAGTTTCAGACTAAATTTGTTTCTTTTTGTTTTATTTAAGCACATATTTCTTTAGTCACGCTCATATGCTCATGTCAGAATTGATTGATGTCATTTTGAACCCGAAATTTGAAAAATTCTATTTAAAATGATAATCTCAACTAGACCAACTCAGACGAATTGGATTTTATATAGACTAAGTAAAGTAATGGCAGAACAACAAAAATAACCCATTGTAAATCAGTAAACAAGTTTTATTTGTGTTAATCTTATTACGACTGATTAGATATTTAAAAAAAAAAAACTTATCATTAAACCTTGCCTATAACTAGGATTTGGATCAACTTCACGACAAGTCATTCGACCAAATGGTGTTCATTATGATTGTGGTTGTATCATTTCACAAAATGGAGAGTTATTACAATTTAGGAATAGAGGAGATGAAAGTGTATTAAATATTCCAGCAGTTTATGTTGCGTATTTTTCAACATTTGGTGCATTGGTAAGTTTTTCAAAATGTATGATATTTCTTTTTTTTTTTAATATAATATTTAATCCTTAGGCATGGCATCTATTGTTATTTGATACATCTGTTGAAAATTTACATAGGCCAATTCTTTCACCAACAGCTATTGCTGATAATACTCCAGCTTATCGAATGGCTGGTAATAGTATACGAGCTAAAGTTTGTTGTTTTGTGTCTGCTAGATTATTATCAACATTTCATTTTTTATCTATTCAATCAAATCAAAATGATACATGTATTCTTTTAACTCGTTGTTTTGAACAAATGGCATTTCTTACACTAAATCGAAATTCATGGATTAAACCTATATACACAAATATAGATGATGAACTCAAAGCTGAACGAGAATATCAAGAGAATGTATTTTATTTTATTCATAATAATCTATTTGACCGTAAAACTCATATTAATCAATTAAATTTGCAATCACAAATACAAATGAATCTTCAACATTTTATCGATCAAATGCCTCTTATTATTCAATTTAAACATTTTAAAACTGAATTACATCGTTTAACGAATTCACAAATATCCTTAAAAATTTTACGACAAATTCTTAATTCTTTTGAAATTTTAAAAATAACAAAATTAATCTATGATCTTAGTCAATTTTACATTCTTTTACATCAAACTTATACACAATTAATTGATCGTAATGAATTTTTAACAATAACATTAAAACAATTGTATGATCGAGGTCAAAAATATTACAATCATTCTCATTATCAACAAGATCAAAATGAAGATAAAATGCATCGTACAATTATTGAAAAAGGAATTGAAGCTGTCAATATTTATCATCAATTTTCTGATGGGTTTATTCGACCAGGTGCTTGTGATGAAACTCAACGTTTTTCAATTATTTCATTCGATACACCAATAAATTATTTAGTTACGAATGAAAATCATGATGAAGGCGATATTATTATGCGTATAATCAGGTGAATTCATTTATAGAACATGTAGATATTTCAAAAAAAGAAGTCAAAACTCCCAGATCTCTTTTCGTCGCATCGACATAAAACAAAATAAAAAACAAGCTTTAATAACATTGAAACTTTTTTCGAACAAATTAGAAATACTAACTAATAAAGTTATTTCAATCTCATCTTTCTCGTCATGTCTCGGGAACAAAGAGCCAGTAGCACTAGTTCTCGAGACGACCTCCGTAATTCACGGATACTAAAATAGTCGAGAACATTCACGGGTTCGGTACTGAGGAGGGATTGGAGGATCTTCGCCGAGTTACCCCCTGTCTTCGATCATCACTTTTAATGAAAAATCGAAACTTAGCAATATCTCTTTCTGGTAACATTGTTATGCTTAGGAACTAGAGAGACGAACAGTGACCGTGACCAAAAGTTGGTCATGTCGCGCACTAATTAGCACAAACTATCTTTCTAGTTTTCTTAATCTGTTGACTTCCAATTAGTTATGGTCAAAAAGTGACATCAAAATTTTGTAATCACTAGGATATGTGCCTCGCGAAATCAATTTATCCATGTCTAATATTCAAGCACATTGCAGAACTTAGTCCATCTTTCACGTATTCTTGCATATAGCACTTGAATATCAAACTATCGATCTCAATTTGCTCTATTTAAAGGCGTATATATATATCATTGGAGAAAGAAAAAATCATAACCAAGCACCTTTTAGTCTTGAATCAATTATGAATCTGACTGCCAAAAAGTTATATAAAATAAATTTCTTCGTTTTGTTCTAGCGTCTTAGTTGAGTCTCATAATAGTTTATTGGACTTAATGGAATATGAATTGAACAATAATCAAAACCATACTGTTGGTGCTTTAAGAAATTTGATCAAAGAATTAACATCAAAAAATGTCTCAATTCTACAAATTGCAAATGATAAAACTGGTGTTATTAGTTTAAATGAAAAAGATTGTCTATGGATTGAACAACTATCTCAAGCAAGTCTTATAAACAATGAAGAACAATACTTCATAACATCAAATTCACGATTAATATTTGATTTTGTTTATATTCAATCGCAGATTATTCGAACATATCTTCTATTTTGTCGTATTAACTATCATCATATTATTCAAAAATATCAATATCATACAAAAAAAATACAAACAACAACAAATATCGAATGTTTAGAACTCGATGAAAAATATTTAATTCGTCTAAATGATGAACAACTTGAAAATGAATGGAATCATTTGAAAAATATTTTATTTGATAAACTTTATTATGCTTATAATCTTCTAAGACAAATAGCCTTAACATTAAAACATCATTCGAATAATTTATCATCAATCTATCTCTTTGAATATGTTAGAATGACTGATAATGATAATAATATTCATCAACAATTAGAACAATATGAAATAAAAAATTTTCAATTATGTTATATAGATCATGTAATACAACTCTATGCAGAATCTATTAGTGGATTTCAATATTTATTTACAGACATACAACCTTTACTTCGAGTTCCAATTGATACACAATTAAATGAAGCACTCATTCAAAAATTTAATGAAAACTTATCTCTTATGAATTATACAAATGATATTGAAAAAATTCAATTAATAATTCAAACAATTACAGAATATCTTAATGAATTAAAAACTATTGAAGATATTCTTTTACAACAATCTACACAATCACTAATTGAAACATGTCAACATTTAGCAATTGATAATCTTATTGTTTCGTGGATACCATCTAGAATAAAATGTGAAAATTATGTTGATCTTTGTATTTATTTAATTCATACAAGATCAATGCTTCAAGAAAGAAAATTTAATTTCGAACAACAACAAATGAATTTATGGGCTGAAAATTTTAATTATGATGAAGAATATGATAAACAAAGAAATCGTTTTCATCAATATTTAAATTCACAATATGATGAGGAATCGACATTTGAAACAGAACAAAATATAAATGAATCAAATAATTGGAAACTTCCTGTAATGAATCCAGAAGAATTAACAAATGAAAATAATTTATTTGATTTCGATCAACAACAAATAAAACCGAAAAATATTGAATATCTATCTTTGATGACATTAAATATAAAATCAGTTCCATGTACATCATCAGTATTTATTCAACAAATACATCAATATCGAATAGAATCATCAATAGAATCAATTATTATAAATAAAGTACAAAAATTTACTATTGTACATCCAAATGGAGAATCAAAAACATATTTGTGGAAAAGTGAAAATTTTTTTGATCAATTAAAAAAATTATTTCTTGAGAAAAAATATGATCATAATTTATTTGTTATTGTTACTAAAAATGGAGTATTTATTGATTTTACAAACAATAATTATTTTCGATCATATCAATCACTTTTAGAATATCATATTATTGAAAAACAATGTTTAATTCAAATTCAATTTCATTATCGAACACAAATTTATGAATATTTAATTACATCGAAATGTAATATTTCAACTATAATTCATCATTTTATTAATGATAAACAACTCAAATCTTTATCATCTGATATTATTCTTTGTTTCTTTAATGAATATGGGAAATGTATTAACGATGGAATCATCAGTGATCTTTGCAAAACCGATCAAAAGATAGTTTCAATTTTAGTAACGGAAGAATCATCAAATACTAGTATTCTATATGAAATGATTTTACAATACAATAAAGGTAATCAAAAGAAAAACTATTGCTAAAACTTTTGTGAAACACGATCTGAAAAGAAATGTCGAAGTAGATAGGTTAAAAATTTGCACTTCCCCCTCCCGCTAAGGTCGTGAGAGATACACTATCACAAACGGTAACGGATGGCATCAAGAATCTATTAGAGGTTATATATAACTAACATAGAATTGAAGTATATATAAATATAGAATATTTCATCGGTGAAATTTTATGTGCTCTAAAGTAACGAATGATGACGAAATCTGCTTCAATATACATGAAAAAGACAAGATTTCAGAGAATATGCAACAGTCGGTACATCGTATTTCACATTTTTATAGCAAAGGGATCGTGCTGATAGCTTTCTTTTTTTGTATAGATCAAAATCACATAATGAATTTATTCTATCCAACAACAAAATGGCAACAAATTAATCTTTGGTTAAAAACTCTTTCACATATCATTGATTCTTCTATTAATGATTATGCTTTTTTAATGCGAGCAAAAAATATAATAATTAACGATAATCAAACCATATCGTCAACTATAGATCAAACAACATCGATGACAATTGATGTTATTAATCGAAATACGATAATTGAAGTTAATTTTACTTATGAAGCAAATAATCAATCTATTTATGCATTAAAATCAATGAAGATTTCGTCTTTATTAAATTTAATTGATTTTTATTCTGATGATTGTCTTCTTAGGATGAAAGAAATAAATGAACAAATTTTAACAGAAGATGATCTTCAAAAATCTATAGATACTTATTCAACTATTGAAAATCAATCAATTCATTTTCAAATATTGAACTCAGTACAAATAATAAAATATGATGATAAAGAACAAATAAAAATACCTTTATCAAATAGAAATATAACTATTCAACAATTATTAAATTTAACAGATAAATCAATCGATATTTATAAATATTTAGCTACGAATGATACTAAAAAAATTATTAATCCTAATGAAAAGCTTTCGAATTTAAATCAAACTAAATTTATTCTTGTTAAAGAAAATGAAACTTGTCTTGTATCGATTAAAAAATCAGATGATTTACAATTAATTTATAATAATGAAGAACAAGAACAAGAAAAAAATAAGCAATATCAACGATTTACTATATCTGCTACTATAGCTGATATTAATAAAGAAAATCAACTTGATATTTTACATCAATATCTTCTATGTTCAAATGATTTTGTTCCATCAACAGATATTCAATTACTATCTTTTCAATTTGAATCACTGATTCAATTTACTGTTATTGATCAAAATTTACCAGTTCTTGTCATTATACAAAATGATAAAGAAAATAAATCAATTCAATTTAATTGTAGACTTTCGATAACAATAAAACGTCTTTGTGAAATTGTATGTCAACTATTTAATATAAACGACAAGGATTTTTATCTCAATATGAATGATATAACATTAAACGATGATGATATTTCTTTAGAAGATATTGATAAAAATATGACTCAAATTCAATTCCAAATGATTTCAAAAACAACTATATATTGCTCAATCATGTATTCTAATCAGAACATTACATTGCCATGCAATGATGATACATCGATAATGGCTATCGTTAAAGAAATATTTCAGAAATTACATATATCAGAAAATGATATGAATATGTATGAGTTGATAGCATTGAATGACGATCAAACACAAATCAGTTTCGATTTATCAATAGATGATATTCGTCAATTATTTCCAATTGATTCGACGACAGTGTCACTTCAATTAAAAAATATAAATGAATGAAACGAAAAATTGATCCTGTGAAATATATTCAATTTCGACTTAACTTTCGTTTTGTCCAGTAAATTTTTAGATGGATTTGTATCGATTACTTCCATTTTCTATCAACAGATTTTTATTTTTTTCTACTAATTCAAAACTTCTTTAAAAAAGATAATAAAGTTGATTTATGATGGTAGCTTTTGCCAAAATTCGAAGGTAATACCAATCTCGATTTGCATTATAGAATGTCTATGACTGTATCAGATAATTCTTTTTTAATGTATACATAATAAAACCTTTGTTTAATTATAGTCTTTCGTTGAAAACTATTTGTATCAGTAGTGAAAAATTTACACTAAGTAATTTAATTCATATTGTGGAAATTCTATAAAATATTTCTGCTCATTTAAATTGTTTGTTCACTTGTTAAGATTCTAAGAATCAGAGAATAGTAGGAGGGCAGAATTATTTGTAGAAAATTCATCCAAGTTCGGAGTGTCGATAGGTATTTTCATCTTTTCATCTTTTCTTCATCTACATTCACACATACGCACGCTCCGATCTTGGCGGAGTCGATGTAGACATTCATTGGACCCATAGCTACAGTCATAAGTGAAAGTTTTGGACCATGGACTTTTATTGCTGTCAACTTTTTGTGTTTGATAGCTTTTACTTGATTTGCTTATAAGCAAAGAAATACAAGAAGCTGGATAAAGTAGAGTTTTCAAACGGGTTGATGTGAACTATAGGTATTGATTTTTTCCGCTATACACATTTTCACTCACAATCTACACTCAGACCCGAGCGATTTCCCTCCGAAATACTATATGGAATATAGAAAGTCAGATTTGTCCCAATCTAATCAATGTCGAAGCTATGCTTACTATTTGCTTATTGGTTGATATTGTCATGTGCTCAAAATCGATCAAAATTATTCTAATGATGTCATCTGGCTTGGCTTTATTAATGCTAATGGCGAGTCGCTTGTTGTTCACTATGGAACGCAATAAAGTACGATTAGTAGTGTTAACCAGCTAGATATAAAATCAGTACGGCTCAAGTGTGTGGCACAAGTCAAGAAGTAGTGAACGGGAATGAGCCAACAATGAGTCAATCCTCGACCTATAATACAACTTATTGTAACGGTCATGCTCATTGTGATTAAAAATGAACATGCATTTGATAATAGACAATCACTTCATAGTTGTTTCGTTTCATTTTCTTTTACCACACGTTTCAAGGTCGATCTCGAAGAGTCTAGTAAGTTAAACTCTATATGACACTAATTGTGTGCAGCAAAGATGAGACCATGATTGCATAATAATGGTTTTTGGGTCTGGGTGGACTGATGGATTAAGTAATACGGACAAATACCAACATTCACACACTCATATTCCATTTAATGGTAGTGTTCTAATAGTCGTGATTTATGATTGTTTATCCTTTACAACATCAGAATATACAAATTTTTCATTGTCTAGATTGATTTTGAGTACCAGAAAATGAATATTTGTCGTTATCATATCAGTATATGAAATAAATGTGAAAAGAAAGTAGCTAGACAGATTTCTCTGGATATGTTCAATTTAAAAACATGTGAAGTTTTCTTATTTGCCTTCATCTTCTTATGTACAACTTACATGTACTTCTAATCACTTTATCTATATGCCAATGATCGAAGCTACATGCCAATATATGAAAAAAATAGTCTTTAAAACAAACATGACAACGAAATGTTTAGCCAAGGATACTGAAGTATATAAAATGCAGTAACAATTTTCATATTCTTTTTTTGATCGGCTATGATTGAAGCGTTGAGTATGTGGACAAAAACAACCAGTTTATTGTATATACATACATATCAAATAATAGTCTTATACATGTAGGTTACCTTTTTCTAAATATTTAAACTAAGGATGACGCGAAGGTGGAGAGAATAAGATAATGAAGAAGTAGAAATGCCGAGATATGAAAGTAACATGGTTAAAAAGCAGCGAAGCGATGCATTACTCAGATCGATAAGTAACGAAAAGGAAAAAAGTACACATTGTAATGCTGTACAAAATATTTCTTTACAGAGAAAAGAAGAGTAGATTTTAGGTAATGTTTTTTTCACACGTGTTTTTGTTCAAAAAAGAATTTCATTCATCCTTTAAACATGTGCAATTTCATAAAAGAAAAAGATTCGGCTTCTTGGTTGATTTATTTGTTTGGCCAATGGTTTGAAGACCGCAAAAATGATAGTTTTTGAAGTTTCTGTGATTGTAAACCTGTATGCTGAGGGTATGAGATGTGAATATGATCATATTCCACGCCGACAGCCATACTTTAACAAATTAATATTAATCGAGCAACAAAATTTTTTTTATAATCGAATGCTCTACTTTAACTTGTTTGGTTTATTCTTTACCTTTCGATGGTCGTCTGAGATTATTACTATCGATCTCTCCTAATAAACTTTATTCACTATTGGCTTTAGAGACGTATGTCCTAGATTCATCGTAGGAATATAGCTGATAACAATTTAAAAAATTCTAAATTACCTTTCTCATTCTTTCATCAAGAGTAATAAACAGGTTATCGTAAGTGCAGTATCAATTACTTGTGTCCGTATCAAAGCGTCGATATTCTCTTAGATTCATGTGATAATGATATAATTAATATGCAAGAAAATTCCAAGCAAAAAAGTTTTGGTAAGTAATTTGTATGTGAGTCCTAGCAAGGTATAAAAGTCTCAATAAAAGTTAAATATTTCCCAAATAAAGAATTATTGTCATGGAAGAAATCAAATAAAGTTGGAAAGCTATTTAGTCATCCTTGAGTTTTTGATTCGATTGTGTGCTAAAATTGAGTATTCAATAATGTTATAAACTTCAGATCAGTTCAAAATAGATAAATGTAAAAGTTTTAGTCTCAAATCTTACAAAGGAAAGCATTATGAGTCAGTGAAATATTTTTGATCACTTTCTTTTATTTTTGTTCAACCTCTAAAAGCTTTTCTTCCTGACTTCTTTCTAATATAGAAAGGTTTTTTTGTCACATACAGTCGTACTCTCTAAACTGGCATATTTTAACATTACTCATCGTCTTCTGTAACACTACACTTCATTCGCATCCTAAATGTCTGAATTAAATTTTAGAAACATCGACTAATTCTCACAGATTATTACAATCTCGTTAGGTTTATCTTGCTGTGAGATAGAAAACATCTTGTCGTCACGAGAAGGGATGATTATGAAGATGCGAGTACGAGGGCAAATTTTCTCTACACTCA